ACAACTGAAAGATGAACTAAAATGTAGCATCTCTGAATTCAAGTTGAGTCGGGTACTGGCCTGCATGTGGAAATTCTTCATGTGATGAAACCTCTATACAACTTTTGTGTCCGGTAAAATGTCCCGCGAAATGTATCAAGTCAATTAAAAATAGAGAGGGAAAAAAGCTATATCAGCTAGGGATTGCCGACCCAGGAAAAAATCGTTCTGTTGAGTTAACAATAAGGCCACAACGGACACGCTTTTCTTGACAGGTGTCCTTGGCGTCTGCTGTCACGATGATTGTCACTGGACATCTCTCGTGGCGAAGGTTGGTGGGAAATTGCGCGATGAACTGCCGCCTGTGAAAAAAAGAACAGACAGTTTGAACCATAAGGATACGTCAGACCGATCGGCAACAGAAGTTTAGACTGATGATGTGTGTTAATCAGGTGCTTAGTCATATATGTGCATTCATAAACGCACTAAGAAGCTTGTTTACGTGTTACCTTGAAGAACAAAACACAAGAGGACCTGGGCCCAAGTCCTCGGAAGTGTTCGTGTACAAACCACATGTAAACATGCAAAGTCCAAAGGATTGAATCAAAGAGGACAACCAGTCCAGATCCTCGGTAGAGAAATGAATTAACGTGTGTTAATTCATGTCGCAGTCATGTGCTCTATTAGTTGCTCAGAGGCAGTACCTACTGTAAAGCAGCTCGTATGTTTGTGTCCATTATATCTGTTGGTCGAACCAGTTATCGAAAGATTCTTCAGAGTTTTATTTGCAAATGTTTGATGTTGATGTTTCCGAGGCAAAACCCATTCCCGCGAATTCCCACGTTCCCACAATTCCAAAATAAATGATTTACTTACTTGGAGGTCTCTCAGATTCACGTTTTTCTCAGGAGAAAGGCCAGGGTCGTTGTCAGTATCAGAACAGACTACCAGACCGGCAACCAGGAGGAAAATGATCAGAAATTTCAGGCAGGGCGGTCCCATCGTGGCCGAGCCAATTGTTAGCTGTTTCAAATTCAGAAAGCGTGTTTATTTTCAAAGTTGCGATGTCTGTACCGGTTTGCAAAAAGGCACTGTTGATGCGGCCGTCCAAAAGCGACTAGTGGTATATGGAGGCTTTGAAGAAATTTCATTGTTTGATCGTCGTTTGAATACGTGAGCTCAGTGACCATAAAACAATCAGCTGACATCAGACCATGCATAATGAGGATGACAGTGGCGCCGTGTTTGCCTTGGTTGACATCGGCTTGGCTCGGCTTGGATCGGCTCGGCTCGGATGTTTTTTTCTCCATTGCTCTCCTTTGGATGTCCAAATTGTGTTTTCCGTCTGATCGTTCGAAATGGTATCCCGTGTCAGTAACGCCTTACTCACAGAGTATTCTTAGTTTCTAGAGAAATGTGATTGTTAAACATTCAGTTGTATTCTGACATTACTCAATTATTTTTGGATTGTAACTGCGAATATTTGGCTATAGGGCCATCGCAGATTTGTAATTTGAAAAACTATGAGGTAGAATAGTAATTTTTAACTTTTCAAAATGGCTGCCATTGCTTGTTATAACACCTATATTTTTTTCATAGGACAAATGTGAAATGGCCCTACAGCCAAATATCTTTCTCAAGACATACGCTGACTGTGTGCCAAGTTCCTTGCTTTTATCATCGAATGAACAATTCCATCACTGTTCCCATTTTGATATTTAAGTGTTTTCACGCTTTTAACTTTCATTTTAATACTTCAAACTCTGGGTATTTACTTGATTATTATGTAGTTCTTGTTATGTGGTTAAAACCTATTATGTAGTTAAAATGTATTGAAGTCTTTTAATACTTATTGTAGTTGGTGAGATTCTTTGTTTACTTCATCGTCATACTTTGATAGCTTTTGTCAGATGATCTTTCCTCCTTCCGAAATATTCTTCCCGTCAAATTCTCCACATCATGACGTAATGTAAGGGCAAAGTGATGGAAGGGCAAATTTTGACAAAATAGTTTGAGCTATATCTTTTGAACTCAATAGAGTATCGTGTTCATTTTTTTCTTGAGGTTGTAGACTATGCCTTGAGTAAGATTTCTCGTTCCCGGACACGAAAACGCTTGACCTTTACTTCCGGTGTAAAGGATGATAACCAGGAAGCGGAAGCATTTTACTACATTTTACTACGTTTTACTATATTTGTTGGAACAAATAAGAAAGCGACTGCTTACAATAATAGTACTGCTACCACATAATTTCATATTTGTTCACCAGGGACTGCAAAATCACAGCTCTTATATGAATACACCCAGGGGAGAATCCAGGAATTTGTACAAAATCACACAAAGCATTCAATACTAATATTCTAGTCTTTTTTCTGATTTCTTTCGGCGTAACTCGCATATCAACACTGATTCTTTAATTCGTACCTTTATGCAGAATTTAATATTTCGACAGTGTAGCCACAATTTTTTTTTTCGTTATCTCAGAGCAGAATTTTAGGAAGCCCATGCATGCAAAAGACATAAGCCATTTAATTTTTGATATTGAGATAATCAAATGCTGCATATATTAAGCTCCAACACGTCCTAGAGGCTCACTTACGTCTACTGATTCCGATTCTGACCATGAATTCAATTCTAATATTCTCGTCCATTTTCTGATATTTTTCGCCATAACCGATTGAAATCGCGCCTCGCCAGTATTCCTCTCATATCTGAATGCTAAAAATTAATATTTCTACAGCGTGTAGCCACAAACTTTTCTGTCGTAAACTCGGTGCAGAATTTTATTATGCCCATGCAAAAGAAAAAAATAACATAAAAGCCATTTTATGATAAAATCAGCATATGTTGCATAAACTCCAACGACGTTAGGGGCTCCGTCAAGTCTACCGTAGTCATAAATTCAGTGCAGAATTTTATTATACCCTTGCAAAAGACCAACAACAAAAAAACAATATAAAAGCCATTTTATCTGAAAATTAGCATAATTATGTTTCATAAACTTTAACGACGTGAGACGCTCTGTTAATTCTACCAATGTCGTAACCTTAGTGCAGAATTTTATAACGCCCATGCAAAAGACAAAAACAAAACAAAACAAGAGGTTTGCGTTTGTTGTTACAAACGCAGAGTGGTCGGGCAGACATTTTTTTCAATAAATACTGCCGTGTTAAGTTATGAATATTTTTATGTAAGAACAAAGGATCACGAAATTAAATCCTGTCAGGTACAATCAATTATTTTGTGGTAAAATTCAGTAAACATTCTATGTACACAAGTTATTTCTGGCTTGATGAAGTCATTATTCAAAAACAGGAAGTGAAAACTGATTTAGTTGGATAAATGTTCATTGTGGAAGTTTAATGACATATGAAAGTATGGAAAATATGCGTGTATTTATTCATAACAACTTACTTCCGGTTTGATGACGTCATAGTATTTGGCAGCAAAAAGTGAACATTGTAATGGATATCATAATTTGGGCTACGAAGATATACGACATGAATCGAATTTTAGAATATGGTCGTTTTCAAATTCTCACAGGGGTAACTTCCGGTCTGATGATGTCATGAATTTGAAACCTTGCCAATTTATTTTTTGGTTAGTCAAAGAATATCAAGGAGCGATTTGGTAAAATTTGAACGGTTGGTTTTCAAATTAGAAAGAGCAAACACTGTGTTCTGTGCCGCTAGGGGCGCCCTTTCGAAAGATGACGTCATCACACTTTTTTTTGTCTGGCGTTCCTCACTAAACACTATCATAATGTGTATATCTGAAAAAGTGATCAATTACTTTCACCTATAACTCTTGAACTAAACAGTCAATGATGTTTATATTCTGTAATCACGTAGACCATTATTCGCCAATTTTTGTCGTGTACGTGAACTTGCTTGACCTTTACTTCCGGGTCTACTGGTAGGTCAAAGTTAGGTGAATTCAAAATGAAGACGTTTGCCTGACATCAAAACAAAGCAACATTTCTTCCGAACGGTTCACGGTATGATCACAAAACCTTGTGTGAACTTGTACCAGGTTACGAAGATGTTATACATTTTTTTACGTCATCATGACGTTATCAGGTATCAAATTACAAGCGATTTAAGGGCAAATTAAGACAAAATAGTTTGCGTTAAATCTTTTGAACTAAATAGAGTATCGTGTTCGTTTTTTCGTGAGGTTGTAGACTATGCTATAAGAAATATTTCGTGTCCCCGGACGCAAAACCGCTTGACCTTTACTTCCAGTGTTACCGGAAGTGCAATAAAAACTGAATATAACTCAAAAGCGGAAGCATTTTACTACAGACATATATATTATGAAAGTGTTTAGTGAGGAATGCAAGACGCAAAAACAGTGTGATGACGTCAACATCCGAAAGGGCGCCCTCTATCGGCACATAAAATAGAGTTTTCCTTCTTTAATTTTAAAACCATAGGTCCAAATTTTACCAAATCGCCCCTTGATATTCTATGATTAACCACAGATAACTTGGCAAGGTTTCAAATTCATGACGTCATCAGACCGGAAGTTACTTTAAGGAGAATTTGAAAAGGATCATAGTTTTAATTTAATTCTATCATTTGATCCTTGTCATATCTTTGAAGTCCAAATAATGATATCCATTACAATGTTCACCTTTGGATCTCTAATGCTGTGACGTCATCAAACCGGAAGTAAGGTGTTATTAATACGTCATCCAACCGGAAGTTAGGTGTTATTAATACAAACAATTATATTTCCCATATTTTCATACGTTATTTTAACTTTACAATGAAAAATTTGCCTCATCCAAAGTGGTGCATATAACTCTGACGTCACGATGACGTCATCGGGTTTCAAATTACAAGCGATTTTAGCCGAAATGGACGACGAGCAAGCCTGTTCAGCGGTCCGGGGGCAGAAGTTGATGTTAGGCCGGGTTGTCGCATGAATGGGGAGACCACGAGTAGGGAGGCCGCTGCGAGCGATGATAGCCCTGCTGTTGACGTGGAGCCCCGTCCCGTGATACTGGCGTGGCGAGCATGGCGGCTGTCCATCGGATCGAGGTTTGTGGATGCACCGACTTTTCCAGTCCTGATCCAACTGCTGCGGAGAAATTTAGCTGCACATCGATAGCTCCATCGTTGCGGACATCTCCATCGATGCACACTGATCCACCGTTGTGGACGGCTCCGCTGGTGCATGCCGATCAGCCGGAGCACGCTGAAATCATCGACCGCCGTACTGCCGGGACAGCAACTCAGACCACGGACAATCGACCACAAGACACTGACCTTCATGTTCAGGTGACGGCAACCTAGTCGGAGCGGCACTATCCCCCGGCGCAAGCAGCCCCGCTGGAGCAAGCAACAACATTGACTTTCAGACCGCAGGTGCAGGTGACAGGGACAAGAACGGTAAGCCAACAGACTGCGGATCCGGCGATGCAGGACGCATCAAAGAAGACGAGGCCGAAGGTACAGGGAGTACCACAGAAGACAGGATAACCGTTGATGCAGGGAGCATCAAAGGCTGGGAATCCGCCGGTGCAGGGTGCACCACAGAAGACGAGGCCGCCGAGGAAGACGGGGAATCCGCCGGTGCAGGGTGCACCACAGAAGACAAGGCTGCCGAAGAAGACAGGGAATCCGCCGGTGCAGGGTGCACCACAGAAGACGAGGCCGCCGAAGAAGACAGGGAATCCGCCGGTGCAGGGTGCACCACAGAAGACGAGGCCGCCGAAGAAGACAGGGAATCCGCCGGTGCAGGGTGCACCACAGAAGACGAGGCCGCCGAAGAAGACGGGGAATCCGCCGGTGCAGGGTGCACCACAGAAGACAAGGCCGCCGAAGAAGACAGGGAATCCGCCGGTGCGGGGTGCACCACAGAAGACGAGGCCGCCGAAGAAGACAGGGAATCCGCCGGTGCAGGGTGCACCACAGAAGACGAGGCCGCCGAAGAAGACGGGGAATCCGCCGGTGCAGGGTGCACCACAGAAGACAAGGCCGCCGAAGAAGACAGGGAATCCGCCGGTGCAGGGTGCACCACAGAAGACGAGGCCGCCGAAGAAGACGGGGAATCCGCCGGTGCAGGGTGCACCACAGAAGACGAGGCCGCCGAAGAAGACGGGGAATCCGCCGGTGCAGGGTGCACCACAGAAGACGAGGCCGCCGAAGAAGACAGGGAATCCGCCGGTGCAGGGTGCACCACAGAAGACGAGGCCGCCGAAGAAGACGGGGAATCCGCCGGTGCAGGGTGCACCACAGAAGACAAGGCCGCCGAAGAAGACAGGGAATCCGCCGGTGCGGGGTGCACCACAGAAGACGAGGCCGCCGAAGAAGACGGGGAATCCGCCGGTGCAGGGTGCACCACAGAAGACAAGGCCGCCGAAGAAGACAGGGAATCCGCCGGTGCGGGGTGCACCACAGAAGACGAGGCCGCCGAAGAAGACAGGGAATCCGCCGGTGCAGGGTGCACCACAGAAGACGAGGCCGCCGAAGAAGACGGGGAATCCGCCGGTGCAGGGTGCACCACAGAAGACAAGGCCGCCGAAGAAGACAGGGAATCCGCCGGTGCAGGGTGCACCACAGAAGACGAGGCCGCCTTAGACGACAACAGTGCGTGGACAGACACCATGGAAGACAACGGGTGAAGACAACCAGGTGGCTGGAGTACAGCGACGTGAGCTGTGTGCTTGGCTGAAGACACTCAAGCTTGCGAAGTGCAACACAGACAGAGACTGGAGAGAAGTTCTCTCATGGATGGACATTGTTTTGTGAAATAGTGAGGACATAAAGGACAGTTTCCAAGTGAACCGAACAAGAAAAAAAAACTGTAAAAGAATGTGTTGAAATTGTTGTAAGGTAGTCGTCACTGTTTGTTGTATCATTGTTTGATTCTGTGCACCAGTCAGCTAGAATCAACGCTGATCAACTTCCATTGAGGACATCCATTGATAAACAAAGTAAAGTGTTTGATTTCTCATGTTGTTTCTAAAATGTTCCCCTGTTGCTGTGGTAGTCATCGTGGATTGTTGGATTAACGTTTGATCTGAGTAACCATTTTGGGGACAAGATCAACGTTGCTCCACATCCTTTGAGGACACCCAATATTGGGTTAAAGAAAAAAAAAGTTCATGTAAAATGTGTTGTATATGTGCCCCTATTCAGGATAATAGGCCCAATTTAAGGAGGGGGTAGTGTAACGGACACTCTATGCACACTTTTGTTGTCATTGCTTTCTAGCACTATCCGGCGGAGGGGCTCCGGCGGCGCGCACCTGACCTGGTTTTGGGCTTGCGCGCGCTCCGAAAATAGGCTCTATAAATAGGTTGGCTAAGTGGGGTTCTTTTGTTCACTTTCGCGGGTAGGACTTGGCTGGATTCCAGGGTTGGGTATAGTTGCTACAATTGTATACATTTGTTCAGACTGTGTGCATGTCTATGCTGGGAATTGATCAGTTGCAGTTTTGGTAGCGGTGCGGCAAGTTGCCCGCAGAGTCCGCTTGGCGAAATAAATGAGATCTTTTTTCAGAGTTAAAAATCCCGTCTGTGTGTCCCCTTTTCTTGCGTTTTGCTGGACTTGGCGGACAAGAGCCCAGTAGGATCCCGCTACACTAACATTTGACTATATCTTTGCATTAGTTTTTTTCCGCAATCCGTTTTGTTATTGTGCCGATGTATTTCCAACAGACCTTATCACGCAAATTATGTTTACACATGATGTTAAACTTGTAGCCAGTTTCGCAATAGAAGGAAACTCCATGCAAAGACATTTGTTCAAGTTTTTTCTGGTATTCGTGCGATAACTACCGTTGTTTCAAGAATATTATTATATCGGATATCGTGGTTTGATAAGGGGAAGTACATCACGTGTCATGCATGGTGGCCTATATTACAGAGTAACATGCTACTTAACACTTGGCTTTCGAAGAATCGAAAACAAATTTGAGCCATTTTGTTGAAATCAAAAATTGATTCTTTACTCAGCCCGTCATATGTTTGCATGCCACGCGTGTGTCACATTTTTGCCAGTGAGTGTCTATGGAATATCTGCAGTTTTGTGACACTGATGCTCATGCGTTTATTTTGCATATTAGATCACGCCCCGTTGTACTGCAAAATTCGCGATTGTACGGTTCGTGGAACCGCCGTGGGTTATACCACTTTAATAGTACTTATTATTTTACCCATCATTTCCTGATTTCGTATGTAATTTATAAAGATAACAATAAAAGCAGGGCCCTCGCTATAGAGGGGTGTGTGTGTGTGTAGGGGGGGGGGGGCACCCCCATTCAAAATTTCTGTTGGCAAATTCATAATTATTATCAGCAAATTTGTAAAATTGAGGGACTTTTTATGTTATTTTACTGTTGTCGGCAAATTTTGAAATTTTATGGCCTTTTTTTTTGCTTGTCAAATATTTCATTGAAAGTTTGTTGGAATATTTTACTTTTCACACCTTCCGTATAACTTTTTCTGTCGGCAAATTTGTGAATTTGAGGACCCTTTTTTGTTTTTGCTTGTTGGATGGTTTGAACGCAAACTTGTCAGCAAATTAGGTCAGACACCCCCCCCCCCCCATTGGAAATGTTCTAGCGACGCCCCTGAAAGCGGAAACTAGCCTACAATATACTTCAGCAGTGGTCACGTGATTAAGGTTTCCTAGAAAGTGATTTCGCAATACACGTAGTTTGGAGGTCACAAATTGAAACGAGTAAAGTGAAAGTATACATGAGAATTACCCGTCTTCTGTGGCGATTTTGTGGTGCATTGGTTTTGATATTTTGTGTCGTCCGTTCTGTATACGGTAAGTTACTCTTTGTTTTCTGGTACAGGTTTCGTTTTAATAAACAGTCTGATCTCGGCAAACTTATTTTACCATCTATAATACTCGCTAATGTATAGTGTATATACTCTTATTACTCTGTGCGAAAGTGAGGAGCGAACACGAATTTGTGACGTCACGTCAGGGGATCAAACTGTCAGGAAATAGGGGGGGGTTGAGGCGTGCCAAATGCAAGCCCTAACGAGTCACTGATTTTTGTAACTCGAGTCGAGTCGAGTCATTTCAAGAAGTTGAGTCGAGTCGAGTCGAGTCACAGTGTGTAGTCGAGTCGAGTCGAGTCAAATACATGTATTTAGCTCGAGTCAATTCGAGTAATGAATATTTGAACACCTATATACCAACATTTGTAAAAGGAGCGCCTAAGTTTAGCCGGCGTTTGAATCAAAGAGCTTTCACTAAAAAAAAAAGAAATCGCCCAAAGTCGATGAAACAACGAATTGGAAAATGTGTTTAAAATCCGGTCACTGGATAGTATATTGTGCGTTCTAGAACCATGAGATGGGAGTCTGACAGGTTGTATGTTTGTACATGACAAGCAGCTGCTGTACCGTACTGTATTTGCAAAGTGACATGAACATATTTCAGGACGAGTGTTCCCCTTTAAGGCCGGTTTGTTTGATTGAAAGGAAACTTCACTGTTCCTGATGAGAAAAGACGAAACCCGGTCTACTTCTGACGCGTCAGTGGACTTACGAATACGTATTCCCAGCCGTAAATACGTCTCCTGTGTCCATGATGTCGCACGACCCAGCCGTGCGTTTGTTTATGGTGTAAATCAAGGACACACACACGTGCAACATCATCGGTGAATCAAGGACAGGAACCAAATCGAGGACGATCTCGATTGGAAAACGTGTACAAACCAATGAGAGCTGTTGCGAAAGCGAAAAAGTTTGAGTGCAAACAAAGGAAAAGGGAAGAAAAACAAAAGAAAATCCTCGATTTACACCATAAACGTGCTAGTACATTTTGTATTTGGTGCTAGTCATGCATGGTGCGTGTACACGCAATCGTGTTTTACTATACGCCTGAGGACAACCTATTGTGTTTCCCTTGTCCCTGTACTTTAACACTTTCCCATAGACTAAGCACGTAAACTAACGATCGAGGACAGTTTCGAACAAAAGCACCGTCGTTCGAGGAATTGAAAGGATCTTTTGTTATCATTTAGTGGGTCTGTCCTCAATCGTAATGCCATACAAGAGCAAATCTGTTGACTGTTTCTCACACTCCCCCCCCCCCCCCCCCCCCCCACACACACACACACACAGTCGTTTTTACTATACTCATGAGGACCGGCCACTGTTCCCTTCTTTGTTCTCTTTGTTTGTCGACATCTCCCATAAGGTTTGTACACGTAATTTCCCGAGGACTAGTGCCCATGTCCTCGGGCAACGTCGGGCCCATTGTTATCGAGAACACCTCATTGCCCCAAGCCCTCAATCTTATTATGTGACAACCTGTACACTGCATGCGATGCACCGATAGTGCGGGTACCCGTACATGACTTGTGTGCGCGGCCTGGGCGGTGCAAGCATACCCTACGGTAGATAAAGCAGGGTTCGCCCTTAACTTTTTAAGCTCTAGCAGGAGCTTACATGTGATCTGGTGGTCGGTCTGTCTATCCCCGGAAAATCGACCAAAATAAGCCCTTTAAAGTTTCCCATAAAATATAACTGCCAAATTTAAATTTTCAAAAAAAGCAAACAAAATAAATTAAATAGGCCTACTTAAAGTTGGTGTATGCGTGCTTTTTGTGTGTGGCACCTTGAAAAATAGATTTTTAAATTGCATTGATAATTTTCCTAGCATTACGTTAGTTATGAGGTTTTCCAATGAGACATCACAGGAAAAAAACAGCCTACGACAAGTAATCCATTAATGCAATTCCAACTTTAAGAATTAAGAGCTGGACGCTCGTAATTCGTTCTAAACAGCTAGGCCTATTATAGTGTGTGCAATTTCTGAACTGGAGCGCGCCATTTAAAACCACTTTTTAAAACCGTATAAGGGCCTGCAAAAACAATTACAAATTTATTTGTTAAAGGACATTGTATTCCTTAAAATTTCGTTCGAAAAAGAAAATCGAAATTTTGAAAAAGCACGTATAGGCCTATATACCAACCTTTAACAAAAATTGTTTGTCACAATTTGGAAAGAAGTTTATGATAGGTTGGTAAATGGAGGCAAAATATGTGCAGTAATGTTATAGACACATGGTATTTATCACAAATCGCTATCTGGTATAAATCTAAAGTATGGTGTTCCATATGTGCCATTGGCGTCGCAGTTTTGGCTCTGGCAGGGATCATTTTGATAGATTCCATGCAAGACTTCCAGATCTTGTTGTGCACTCGCACTGGTTTTTCACCAGCCAGCGGCCGGACTAGTGAACCAGACTCTAGCCCGCGGGCCTTTTCACTAGTTCGCAATATAATGTATAGGTTGTTTTGCACAAAAATGTCATAAACACCAATGTGCATACATGTAAAACTTTATCCTGAGCAAATCCTGTCAGTGCTTTCAACAACATATCTAATAAAATTGACTTCAAACAGATTCAATATGATTAACGTGATTTATAAATGAAATAAATTATTTATTAATACATGTACATTTGAATAAATTACATTCGATTCCATACTGTCTCTTGAATTTGTCCACAGCAGAGTCAATGGAGGGCGCATCGGTTAACGTGCTGCTTTTGTTGTGTTTTCTATCGTCAATGTATCCATACGAAATAGACCGGGAACAGCCCGCCTGCAACAACCTTCCCGATTGTTCCTGTCCGTCCTATGGCGATACGTACGGCCTAGAGCTCGGCTTGACGCTCAGTTGTAGGGTTGGCCCAAATGGATTTAACTTCTCGCAGTTTCACGGCCTGAACCTTACAATGAATCTGTGGTGGTCTCTTGAATTCTACTCTAATTTTAATCCTGATGGGCATTCTTCTTCTCCCCTGGTGATCCCGAGAAACGCCATACCAGCCTCAGCCAGCGTGACGCCGTTCCGGTTACTCATCAACAACGTTGAGCTCGTCTCAGTGGAGAGAGGCGCGTTCGCCGGTCGGACTCTAACAGTTCTCTGGTTCCGCGGGACCCAAATGACCAGTCTACCCTTGGATAGCTTCCGGGACCAGAGTGCCAATTTGAAACTAGTCGTGATCCAAGGAGTAAGTCAAAAAAACGGCGAACCTATTGGATTCCCGAGCTTCCACTCATTTCAAGCTCTGCGAACACTTGCAATTGAACACACTCCAATTAAGTATCTACCTGACCAGTTCTTTATATATAACTTACTCTCACTGGAGGAATTTATTCTCGACAGTGCGCAAACGACTCAAGGCGTATCACCGCGTGCATTCCAGGATCTTCCAGTTCTGAGTTCGATGACGATCTTAAAGTGCATGTTGCAGCAGGTGCCAATCGATGCACTCTCCTCTCTCGCCAACTTGACTAATTTAGACCTCTCCTTGAACGACATCCAAACTTTATCTGCCGTCGATATTGAGGCATTGAAACGGTTGCCTTCTCTATTTCAGGTCACCTTGGGCGATAATCCTTTTAGCTGCACGTGTGACTTGCTGCCGTTTATTAAGTTGCTGCAAGGTGGATCACCTTTCGACATACGATGTGAAAGATATGGACTAAATAGTAATAACGACTGTCGATGTGCAAGTCCTGAACAGCTTCGAGGCAAACTACTTGCCGACTTGAGTCATGTCAATTGGTCGGTATGTACTGCAGAAAGCACGGTGAAGCCTGAGAACCTCACAACGCGGGATTATGTAGACTCCTCCACAGTCACACGTAGGGCGCGGGATTATGTAGACTCCTCCACAGTCACACGTCTGTCTATCTCCATCATCTCGGCCGTCGTGGTGTTAGGAATTGCAGTAGTGGTGGTGGTTGTGATTGTGCACAGGAAGATGAAGCTGAGATGGGTTGGGTTATTCAGAAGATACGATCGTCCGAATAGCAATGTCTATGAAGGTGATGGGGAGGGGTACGCATACGACGCTTACATCTGTCATCACAGCGAAATGGAAGTTTTCGTCTCCGAACAGATGATACAACGCCTGGAAGGGGAGCCTAACAACTTCCGCCTGTGTGTGTCCTTTCGGGACTTCCTCGTCGGCGCTGACAAGTTGGACAATGTGGCGACTGCAATGACGTCTAGTCGGCTGATAATCGTCCTTCTTGACGCCAACTTCATTGCAAGCGGCCAGTGCATGCTCGAGTTGAACATGGCCAGTACCCGGATGTTGGATGCAACGGTAGGCGCCGCTCCAGTCGCCCCAGCGGCCGCTGGCAACGCCGCTATCATGGACGGTGCTGCTGGTCTCCTTCTCGTGTTGCTGGACGCTCTTCCAGTGGATGCCTTGCCAGCCACCTTGACGGTACTTCGAGACAAGATTACGTGTCTGGAATGGAGGCAAGAGGATGAGGAAAGATGCTGGCGTCAACTCGTAGCCTCCATTCAGGCTACAAGACCCAGGCAACCTCAGCAAATGGACATTGAAGACTAGTCAGCGCGTCAAAATGAGTTGGGAAAACATGTACATGTACACAGACAGTAGCCTAACAGCATTTACGTGTTGTCAAATTGAACCACAAACAACCAACCAAGTGTATATCATGAAATGTATAACACATCAATAATTGATTTCAGTCTTCTATGATACAGATCTATCTATAATACAGAAAAAAAAAGATTTCTTCTAATTTGAACATAATTTTTGTTTAGAGTGCATTTTTCTGTTTCTAAACAAAAATGCTTTGGGATATAGGGCCAACTTGCTCCTTAAAATACTCCCGTAATAAAAGCTTTTAAAGTATTTTGGGACATTAATGTACAAACGTCTGCAAAAGAATCGAGTTTTGATATCAGAAAAATGGAGTGTAGCCTACATGTACTAATGATCGTATATGTGGTTGTGTGATGCGTTTAAATAATCATGAATACATTTTTTAATACTGTTTTAGACCTCAAGTATAAACAAGACAAACTCTTTGCTGTATTTTGAGCTACAACTTAATAATTAATAGGCAAGCATCTTCACATTTGTGGAATGTTTAATATGTCAAGTTTGTATATAATTTAGAAAATTGTTTGAAACTTAGTTTTTTTGCTATACCCACGCATTTTGGCATTACGTAAATGTACCATATAAAAACGAGAATTTCTACTAGCTACTCCCGCATAAAATGTTTATAAATAATGCTGTTGACTTGTAGCCAGTTTGCAATATAGAGAATGACACGGTAGCTGTAAATGTGCATGTTTTAATAATTCAAAATATTTTCTTTGTACTATTTTTGCTGTCTGTTTTGTCTAATAACTACCGTTCCAAAAACAGTTACATATTAATAAGTAGGCCTACACATTGGTGGCCTATATCACTGAGTAAGATGCTTCTTTTAAGTGTTCAAACAATAAAGTTTAAATGTTAGAATATAGACCTTTTTGTGCTAAGTTTAATCAAAAATGATTTTACTTTCTGATGGAAACAATAGAATGGTGCTTTTTTAGCTTAGGTAAATTTGGGAAAACATTAGAATGTACCCAACTTATAGTGCCCTTCATTTTTTTACGAATAACCTAAGAGTTCAACCCGCTCATCGGTAACATAGCTAATTAAATTAAAATGTATACAAACAAAAAGGTGAAACTACAGAAAGCCCTTACGTGTTTAAGAAACAAAACAATTCCAGACAAATATTACAGGCACATACTTTGATCAGTAGCCTCAACATTAGAGCCTGAACGTATACGCCATTTTGTCTTAAGAGTTTCCGGACCCTGGCCCTCCGCGACCTTTCTATGGGCATTTTACACGGAGTTGCCCTTTCTCTTGCTATAATTTTGACAGAAAGATTTCTAACCGTAATCACCCAAAGAAACATTCGTGTTTTATTTTGGCATTTCACACAAAAAATGACGAGAAATCAGATGGAGATTGGTAAAGACGACTTTTACTTACGACCGTTCACATCCGGATTTTTATACCTAGGTCTCCTTGTTCGTTCACGATTGTTTTCACATCGCGTACTTGCGTGTGACTCGAAAATGATAACGACACGAAGATTTACCTTACCTACATCCGATGGATTCTAGATAGCCGGGCTTGCTTTAATCATGCTTGAATACAGGTCTTATATCAACTGTCATTTTAGATTTGTTTGTAAATGAGAATTAATCACACACCGTAATTGTTTGTCCCAAAAGACATTTTAGTCTCCTATTTAAATTTCAGTTTTTACCCTATGACTACCACAAAATTATTTCATAACGTTTTTATCTTTGTAAGAGTGCTCCGAGTTCCATTAGTCCACATGTACTTTCCTATTTGAGGGGTCCGGAAGCGCGCCACCAGGGGTCAACTGTCAGGCTCTATTGTGATGCAAAATGCATCTGTCAGTTCGACTCGTCTCGCTATATAATTAGTTGCCTCGACTGTCGAGCTGAGTTCGATCCACCTAAGTTGCTCTGGACATGTTAACAACTTGTTGGATATTTTGTCTCCAGTGGACTTTCCAAAGTGACTATGACGACTTGTTGAGATGTTTTATATCGCAAAGTCGAGATGACGACTTGTCGAGATATGTTATTAATTTTTCACCAATGCGACTTCCAGTTGACATGGCAACTTATAAAGAAATTTTAACTCGGCAAGTCGACTTTATAGATATTGAGATGTCCGCTTACCGAGATAATTCATCTCGCCATTGCAAATCGTCATCACGAAAGAGTTTCACCCAGAGTTTTTGTAAATTGCTACTTTTGTTCACGTTTGCTTGAAACACACGTACGAAACAAGAAAATCCGCCGCCGTTTAGTTATTACTTTATAAATTCGAATCATTTGGGTTTTCGGTGCGTAAGAGCCCGGCGCAAAAATAACCACAGATTTAAGGATTTTTCCGAAGCGGGTTGCAGACGCCAATTTTGTTTACTGATAAATACAAATTGAAAATTCGTAAGGAGAAGTAGGGAATTTTGAAGAACGCGTCCTGAGCAACTTGAGAGGATCGAACTCTGTCCAACAACTAACTACAATGTATGCTAGACGAATCAAACCAACAGACGGAATTTGAATCATAGGGTGCGTTCGTTTGGCTCACCCGGGTCGACACGAGTCAGCCCCGGGCCGTTCGATTAGCTCTGACGACATTTTTAGGGCTCACCCGGGTCAGCCTAGCTATACACATACGAACCGGATAGCGCGAAGGGCGCACGACTTACTTAAATTCTGAATGTGCACAAAGCGTCTTTGCGAAGGGCGTCATTTTTCGGCAGTACGTTCGAATGTCTCCAGGAGTGGTCTCTGCAAACTCTCCCTTTCTCATCGTTTAGGGGGTATGCTTATGCACGGAGCCCAGACCGAATCCAAGTTCCTTGCCTATAATATTTGCCTGTATTGTATTATCAAATTTATTTCTTACACCGTCCAATCTGGTGTGGTCGCTTAACAGATAGAAAGTGGTGTGGATATATCGACCTCCCCCTATAAATTATTCTGAACTCGCCCCTTCAACACGGACTCATCGTTTTCCATCGTTTTTCTTGGGCAATGATCTCTCGTGTCCTTTAATTCAGCCTTACGGTATATGCTTTGCTTCAGTTAAAACAATAATTTCATGTTACCAGACTTCCTGATACCAGCTAGCACGGTAGTGCCAGATCAAAGGAAATGAGCACTGATGTCGAGAAATCTGATCTTAAAACGTGTATCCGTCGGAAGCTGTCTAGTTTTTTTGTTATTCTTCTTTTTTAATTTTTTTTTTTCATTTCCTCGAAAATACAATAGGCCTGAATAGCTGTTAATCGACCTGACCAAAAACCGGGTTAACTCCGCCTATCAGGACCGCTTGAGACCTGTGCCCCCATTCCCCATAAATTCCAACTCTCTAAATCCCAAAAGTGGAACTAGGGACTAGACGAGAAAAGCCTCTCATTTTAGATTGAAATACTCGGGGGGAAAAAAACGACTGACTTCAGTCGAAGCTCGAGTGAAAACTCCATCTTTTCGATTAAAGGAATTTCAGTCTAAAACGTCTAGTCCCTAGTTTCCGACTATGAGAGTGAATCTTCACTCGAATGGAGTGATTTTACACTCTTTGGAATTCAGAGAGTACACTGAAAAATTGCCTGGGTTATTTTACCAAAGAAAGGGTGAAAACTGGAACTACCCAAACTTGGGTTGTTCTATAACCAATTGTTTGGGTTAGAATTTTTGTTAAATTCAACCAAAGTTGTAGTCATATACAAGACCAAATTGAATTTGGTTTTGAATGACCACAAGTTTTGGTTGAATTTAGCAGAAATTCTAACCCAAACAATTGGTTATAGAACAACCCAAGTTTGGGTAGTTCAAGTTTTCACCCTTTTTTTGGTAAAATTAACCAAGGCAATTTTTTAGTGTAAACAAATAACAAAAACAAACAACCAAAAAAACTGAAGACGTATTAATGAGAAAACGTTTCTAGGGGTTTTTTTTTTTCGTTCAAATAAAACGGGGAAAATACAGCAATATAAAGTTTTTTTAATTGACACCGATTTTTGCCTTTTTGCTACGTTTCGTTGTTGTCTGCACTTTCCTGAGCTGATTGCACATTTCGTTGAATGTAAACTGATGACAACCATCATATCAAAGGTTGGGTCAAGGAAAGTTGATCAGGGTAAAGAGGTCGCTTTTCCTGCGTGCGGATTTCCCTGTACATATTCCTCGTAACAGGCTAATACAGCTTCCGCTAAAAAGCCATATGCAAAAATCGGTGTTTCGACGGTTGTTCAAGAAATGTAGGTTTACTATCAGTTATCACACTTTTTATCCGCATTCTTAAATACCGTCTTGGTCAAAATACCTTTTTTTTTTTAAAGTCGCATAGTGTTGACACATACAAGAAATTGTGACTATTTCTGCCTTTTTCTTCACATCACGTTATTGGACACGACACCAGACTAAAACCGGTTACTGTATGTGTCTGCTGTATGCTAGTATCAAAATGATACTAAGAAAACTAAGTAAGATGATTTGTAAAATATCAAGATGAAAATAAGAAACAGTGGGATGATCTGTAAAGAAATGTAGGTTTGTTTTTACGAAAAACGGTAAAGCTTGAATGGAAGATTTCTGATAAATTCAAGATTCTTGTCCTATCAAAAGATCAGGGTCTTGAGAGTTGGTGCCAGGAGTGATCTTTTGCCTCCTACAATAATTGATGACAGCGACATGTTTTGGATCTGCAAAATGTTTTCAAGGGTTCTCACTAGTCTGGAGATTTCTTGGACCTGTAACAGTTTCGCTGAGACTTGAACCAGTTTGGGTCGGAGATTTACTACTTTTGAATTTACTGCCTTCGATCTGGTTGATTGAGTTTTGAGCTCTTTCACGACCTTTTCAATTGCTGGGTCTCTGTCACAATGCCATTTGCGTAAATTTCTACTTGAAAAAATACTGAATTAATTATATGTGATGAAATCCTCACTGTAGTTTCAAAACTCATTAGCGTTTGCTATACTGCGCTACTGAATGGAAAAATGTCATGAACAATTACTCGACGTGTCACTTTAGTACTAGGGCCACGAGGCTGTAAAATTACACGATTTGGAAATAAGCTATCCGATTTTCGCTTCATTGGGTTGCACTTGAGCAAAGGTAAAGTTTTTGTAACTTTGAGAAAAACATTTCAGGGGAAAAAGAACTCTCAAATTTTACAAGTAAAATGTCAGGTCTTTTGATGCTAATACAAGCCTAAATATACGTATGTACTACTTTGAATCGAACAGCCTAAGCTAGCTGCCCTTTCGATTTCAATACATACAAATACATCCAAGGACCCCAGCATTACATTTGGTTCGGTATAAAAGAGAGTGCATGCATGATTGCGTATATTTATTGGTCCCCTGAAAGCTATGAATGGCATTGCTCAGGAAGCCCCGCCCCCTTAAACTTGTCCCTCTTTGCCTGGTACGCGACAAACAGTGATCAATACTGGACGGTTTCTATGGTTCTTTAAAATAGGGTGTTAGTTGAGCGATCGAGATGTTAAAGTTGGAGGAAGTAAATTCCCCCGCCATTTTACCTAGAGCGTTCGTATACGAAGGGTGAGGCCCCGTAACTGAATACATGTACAACTCACTCCATATAAATTTTGGACTAAAATTCCCAACCCT